AAAAAAAAACTACATCGTCAAGCCCAATAGAACATACTATTATCTATCTGTAAATATATGTTGAAAACGAATGATATTCCAATGGATTATCACAGAAAGATAAGAAAACCTGTTTATACAAGCCTTGTCTTACTATATTTGTACTCATATTCATGTATCAATAATCAACAATACAGATAAATTATAATAAACGACATGGATAATTAACTGTATCTTTAATTGTTCACTATAATATTGTTATTCTTACATATTTCCTTTTCTAATTGATATCTATGTTTTATTTCCCGTTAAACAAGTTTTATTCTCAAAACTATAAAATAACGTTTAAATAGAACATAGAAAAACATATCGTTTCTTGAATTATACTTGACACATATAATATAATATATTAAAAGAATAAATGAATTCTGGTTTATTGAAGATTATTCGAAGAAAAAAAATATTCAAAGTTATGTTGAAAACAATGTTTTCGCATGTTTATTAATAGAAAATGACTAGTAAAGAATATATAGATATACCTTTAGCTTGTTGTTTTGTTTTTTTTTTTCAAGATAATTATATAAATAAGTGAAATATTTCTAGGTTTGCATTTGCATGATAGATAATAATTGTTCTATTAAAAGAAAAAAATTAATTTGTTACAATGATTACACACATAATGCATGTTTAGAAAATGGTTCTACATATTTAAATATATGAATAAATCCCTTATGGAATAACACACACCGTTGACATTAACATGTTTTAGATAAAAAAAGTAACTGTTTAACTTGTCGATTTCACATTTTCTTATTTATGTGCTAAAGAGAAAAAAAAAAGATTCTATACAAGTAAAGGTAAACCATATTTATTATTAATTAATATCATTCTATCAAGAAAAAAAAAAACCTTGATGTTTTATCTTAAAAAAACAACGTCAATCTAATTTATTTAAACATAAATAACTATATTTACTATCAGTTATAAATATTTCTTAATTTAATTCAAAGATTATTTTACTGACACTATTTTCTAAGATCAACTCATTAACTTGCGACATCTACACCTTTTTTTTGTTAAAAAATAGAAAAACATTCAAGAAATCTAATATATAAATTTTCATGTGTTTTTATTTTGTTGTAATTAAATATTTGTTTCCAATATTGAATTATTTAATAAATGATAGTATAACTCATCTGATATAAAATTATTGATATTCAAACCAATGAATTGCTTCTTTCTTTCTTTCTCTTTGCTCGTATCTCTACACGAAAAAACAAAATCTTTCGGCACACATAATCTGTTCGTTCGTTCGTTCATTGTGTGCATAAATTTTCTTCTTGATCATAATTATAATCGTCTAGACACTTTTCTTTGCTTGTATTTTTTTTTCTTTTTCGCTCCACTTAAAAAGATTGTCTAAAGATGAGTTTAGCTACTCCAAAATTGTCACCTGTTCTTCTCAATACAAACAATAATAATAATAATAATAATAATAAATCACGAACATCAAATGGAAAAGATTCAAAATTAAATAATATTAATAAAAGTGAATCTATTAACGATTCAACAAGCAAACAAATAACTAAACCTTTATATTATAGTGACGAATCTGATGATGATGATAAACCATTGGTAATTGATATTAAACATATTTTATTATATATAATTGATTATACTTTGTTTCTACTTTAAGGCAATAAAAGTAGCTATTACTAATGGTCGATATTCAATGAGAGATTCAAATAAAACACCTACGATTAAAAAAGAGGCTAAAGTTGAATCAACACCAATAATAGATTCTAGAAAAAGATCTTTAATAAAAAATGAAGCAAGACCAGTTGTTAAACAAGAAGCTAAATCTGAACTAACATCATTTATTATTAAAAAAGAAGAAACACCACCAAAACGTAAAAATCTAAATATAGATTCCGATGATGATGATCTTCCATTGGTGAGTTTAATAGATTTATTATTTCTCTCAACTTTATTTTTAATAATTAATCATCATTGATATTAATTAGATTGTTTTACTATTCATTCGAAATGATTTCATATACTTCCGGTGTATCAGTGTACTTATAGACTAATCGTATAATAGTGATCTTCGATTATTTTTCGATTGAAGAAGGTCACCATTTAAAGAGAACCGATCTCCACAAATCCAAATCTAAATGAGATTTATTGAAAATCTCATTGAATAAAAGTTAATATAATCACGATTTAATCATGTTTTATAAAAGCTAATCTATTTTATTGATAATCGATCTCTACAAAGTGGAAAAGTCTAAGATGATCATACCTTCACCGTTTGTCTACAGATTCCGTATTTAGATAAATACACCTTTGATCATGATGACAGTTACATTCCTAGTAGTCGATATAGAATCAACGAGGGAAAGTGAGGTTCGCCAATCCTAATATCTCACCACCTTTTCATACTGAAAGTTAGTATTGATAGGATCCACAGATGGTATTCGAAACAGCTGTTTCTCACCAATTAGTAGAACAAAATATACCGATGTTCGGGTCAAAGAAAAGAAGAGCCTGGATTGGCCCGGACAAGCCTAGTTTTTATTCTTATTATAGCTTCTCGCAATCTGACTGGTCGATAGAAAAATGTTATCAATCAATCAGATTTCAGCAGGATTTTTTCCTCTATAGTAAGGGCAAAACATAGGCCTGTTCGGACTAATCCAGAATCCTCGTTCATTTGACCCGAACGTTGGTATATTTTCTCCTTAGAATAAATGAAAAAGAGGTATCTCAAATATCAGCTGTACATTCCTATCACTACTACCTTTCAGTAGCAAAAGGTATGTGTTGGGGTTCTGGACAAAGACTTTCTCCTTGTGAACAGCACGTCAGTGTGTTTTATTTTGTTGTAAGATTCGTTGATTTGTGTGTAGGAAGAATTTGTATATAATAATTAAATTGAAATCTAATTAATTTCAGGCAAAGAAAGTTAAAAATCATTTATCTACTAAAGAGAGAAAATCAAATTCTACAACAAGAATTATTAAAAAAGAAAAAAAGTCCGATATTAAACGATCATCATTAACAACAAATATAAAAAAAGAAAAATTAACACCAAATTCATCACCAATCAAACAAACAAATGGAAAACGTAAAAAGAAAGAAGAAGAAGAAGATATTTGGGAATGGTAATTTTTATAAATTATTTTTAAATTTATTTAAATGAAATTTTTTCTTTAAGGTGGAAAGAAGAAAAATATACAGATGGTAGAAAATGGACAACACTTGAACATAATGGTCCATTATTTCCACCACCATATGAACCATTACCAAATAATATTAAATTTTTTTATAATGGTTTGTTTTTTTTTTATTTTATAATATTTAATAAAAAAAAAAATTCTATTAGGTATAGAAATAAAATTAAAAGAAGAATCTGAAGAAATAATGACATTTTATGCTCGTATGATTGATCATGATTATACAAGAAAAGATATATTTAATAATAATTTTATGTCAGATTGGAGAAAATCAATGACACAATCTGAACGTGAATTAATAAAAGATATTAAAAAATGTAATTTTACACAAGTTGCTAATTATTTTAAAGAACAAACAGAACAAAGAAAATTAATGAGTAAAGAAGATAAAAAAAAATTAAAAGATGATAATGAAATAATTCGAAAACAATATGGATTTTGTATATGGGATAAACATCGACAACCAGTTGGAAATTATAAAATTGAACCACCAGGACTTTTTCGTGGTCGAGGTGAACATCCCAAAATGGGTTCTCTTAAAAAACGTATTCATCCAGAAGATATTATTATTAATATTGGTAAACAATCACAAATACCTAAACCACCTCAAGGACATCATTGGAAAGAAATTCGACATGATAATAAAGTTTCTTGGTTAGTTATGTGGACGGAAAATGTACGTGGAAATAATAAATATATTATGTTAAATCCTTCATCACGTGTTAAGGTTAAATATCGCTTCTTTTTTTTTATTAAATTAATTTATATTATTTTATTTTTCTAGGGTGAAAGAGATTGGCAAAAATATGAAAAAGCTCGAAAACTTCATAGAATTATTGATAAAATACGTGAAAATTATCAAATTGATTGGAAAAGTAAAGAAATGCGTATACGTCAACGTGCTGTTGCACTTTATTTTATTGATAAAGTAAATAAATTTATTTATTATATGAATAATTAAATAAAAAATTTCTTTTTAATTAAAGCTTGCTCTCAGAGTTGGAAATGAAAAAGATGAAGATGAAGCTGATACTGTTGGTTGTTGTTCATTACGTATTGAACATATTCAATTATTTGATAATACTGACAATATTGGAGAGAATATTGTACAATTTGATTTTCTTGGCAAAGATAGTATCAGGTACATTTTTCAACTAATATCACTTTCTTTTTTTTCACTAGATTAACATCAACGAGGGAAACAGAAGTTACAGATCCATCTTTTTATCAACTCGGACTCAAATCCAAGTTTTTTTTTCATCAATACCTTTCACCCTTCGTATACATTAACAAGTCAACGATCAAGGTTTTAACGATTTATTCCCTACTTTCCCTACTCTCCCTACAGTTATATCTTGTTGCTAGATTTCTCATCTGAGCAATACCGGGTACACAAAAACGTTCTATAGGACTCAATAAAAAATAAAATATTGGATTAGGGTATGATTACACTTTACGATCCGTCGGTAAGAAAGTTATTAGGGATGTGTAATGAAGGTCGAAGAATAATATAATACTCTTTTATGTTCTAAGATAAAAATAAGAGAGATTTATTGATATTTTACAAAAAGTTTTATTTTCGAAAAAGTCTTAGAGAAAGTTTTTATAGTCAAAACAGTTCCTATCTATTTGAAAATAGAGGGCGAGTAATTCCGTGTCGAATAGCTCGAGAACGGAAGCAACTATGGACCTACGGTTTTCACCATTAAAAAGTCGACACTGAAGCACGTAAATCTATGGATCAATAGGATGAAAGCCTGATGAACATTTTCACGATAGCTTTTCGAATGCTTTTTTTCGTTGAATTTTGAAGTTGAAATAAATCATTCGATAGAAAAAATTCTTCTCTTTCGATCAACACAAGGCCGAGCTCGATAGTTTGCTCCATTCGGTAGTTATAAGCATTTTCCTGAGATGCTCTAAATCGACCAGGTGACGCGGAATCATCCTTAAAACCATTACATTGTTAGGTTATCGACCATGCTGAATTCAGTGGTCAAGTTTGTTTTTTTATTTTAAAGTAATCTGAGATCATTATGAAAAAGTTTTCGTAAGTTTTGGTTTTGCTGCTATTTGCCTTAAAAAACACGTATATTGAAACTTTTGATACAATGATCTCAGATTACTTTGAAATAAAAAAACAAACTTGACCACTGAATTCATTGTGGTCGATTACCCATAATGTAATGCTTTTAATAGTGATTCCACGTCACCTGGCCGATTTCGAGGATCTCAGGAAAGTTCTTATAGTTACCGAACGGAGCAAGCTATCGAGCTTCGCCTTGCGTAAATCGAAAGAAAAACAAATTTTTCTATCGAGTGATTTAATTCAAGTTCAAAATCCAACGAAAAAAGTGTTCCAGAAGGTATCTTGAAAATGTCTAGCAGGCTTTCATCCTGTTGGTCTATCACTGGCTAATGAAATTTTTCCATAGATTTACGTGTCTGGTATCTGCTTTTTTAATCGTGAAAATCGTAGGTCCATAGCTACTTCCGTTTCCGAGTTATTCGACTCCTAATCACTCACCTTCTATTTTCAAATGGATAATTGTCAAAATTAAGGTAAAAGTAAAGTGAAGTTAGTGTTATTAGTAGTGATTGGAATCATTATCGCCATAATTATAAGGTTAATAATAAAAATAAAAGTTGAAAATCTGAATTTTGTTGATCAGTGAGAGGTTGAAAAGCATCTCCCATTTCCATTCTTTGTTCTCCTGGTCTGTAAATTGCAATCTTACCTAAGTTGTTAAAGAAGTTTTTCATATAATCTTATACGAACTAGATAAGTATTGATGTACTGAGATAATTGTTAAGAGAGTAGATTTTCGTATATCCTAAAGAAAACTGTTCTGGTACTCGAGTGTATTGAAATGAATTGATTGATTAAGGATTCGTTAAATGATGTAGAGTAATAAACATGAAATAGTGTTATTTAAAGAGTTGAAATCAAGATAAAACAAATGTTTGTCCTCCATTAAAGGCCTCCTTCCTCAAAAATTGATCTCAGGTGAGGAAGATCGAAGTTGCATGAAATTTCCAGGGGTATATAATGACGTTTAACAGAGATATTCAACAAACAAGGCTTAAAAATAGCTCGATCGTATCTTGAAGAATTTTCTGTGAACTTTTAATTTTTGTTTTGTTTGAAAGTTTTCTCGTAGTCGTTTGTATTTTTTAAGCAAAGAAAAAGGATGAGGAATTGAATGAGTCGAAAAAAAATGGTATAAGGAGTCCTAATTATCAGGAAGAATATATCTATATAGATAATAGTTTTAAGGTTGGTAGTGTTGATAAGTTGAGATAAAAATGATATGATTATTTATTAATATGTAAATTTTATTGATAATCAATATTGATGTGTTGAGAAAAAATATTTTATTTGAAGATAATAATATAATAAATATATATTTATTTATTAAATAGATATACAAATAAAGTCAGTGTTGAATCACGTGTATATAAAAATTTAAAATTATTTATGGAAAATAAAAATGGTGATGATGAATTATTTGATCGTCTTACAGTAAAATAAATAAATAATTATTTATTTTAAATATAAATGATATAATTGTTTTTTTTATAAAATATTAGACATTTGGTCTTAATCAATATTTAAGTGAATTAATGGAAGGTCTTACAGCAAAAGTCTTTCGAACGTATAATGCTTCAAAGACACTTCAAGATGAACTTGATTCATTAACTGATCCAAATGGATCTATACCAGAAAAACTTCTTGCTTATAATCGTGCTAATAGACAAGTTGCTTTACTTTGTAATCATCAACGTTCTGTACCAAAAACATTTGAAAAAAGTATGGAAACACTTAAAGCAAAGGTAATTTTATTTATCTCAGTTGTGTTTTTGTTATTTTATAAATAAATTTCATTTAATTAAGATTGATGCAAAAAAAAGTGAAATAGATGAACAAAAAAATGAATATAAACGATCAAAAAGTGAATATAAAAATAGTAAAAGTCAAACATCTCAAAAAAAATTGGAACAATCAGAAAAAAAATTACAACGTTCAGAAGAAGCATTAAGAAAACTTGAAGTACAAGCACTTGATAGAGAAGAAAATAAAGATATTGCACTTAGTACATCTAAACTTAATTATCTTGATCCACGTATTAGTGTTTCATGGTATTTTGTTTTGTTTTTTTTTCTATTTTTCTATTTTTCTATTTATTTTTTTAATTTAATAAGGTGTAAAAAATGGGATGTACCTATTGAAAAAATTTATTCAAAAACTCAACGTGATAAATTTCGTTGGGCTATTGATATGGCAACATCTGATTATCATTTTTATAATTATGAAGGTGAAATTATTTTACGTAACGTTGATGATACAAATAATGATGAAGACTGTGATCAACAAAATAATTCAGATGAAGAATAAATATCTTTTCTTATTGGTTGGTTTTTTGCTTTTTCTATACTTTATCTATGATTATACGAGTAAATTAAGAAATTTATTCGTTCTTTATCTTTGTTGCTTTTTCTTCTGTCTATCTGACCGATGATAATATTTTCTGTCTTGTTATCATTATATTATTCATACAGACTAATAAAGACGGATACTCCTCATATAGGACATTCAAATAATTAAATTTTCTTTTTTTCTACTCAAATATTACATTAGATTATTATCATCAAATTCTATTTACGATTATATCAATATCGTTTAAATATTAGAGACTGCTTTTCACCTGGGCTTCACACAATCTCAGATTAATTATCAAATAGATATATCTTATATTCCTTTATATTACATAGGAATCGTTCATTTCAAAATAAAATACGGATGGTTGTTTTACGAATAATTTCTCAACGAAAAGAGGTATCGCTCTCTGCTTTTCACCATTAGAAAGAGGCTGGCATTTTCCATCTTTTTATATACTTATTTAGAAAATTAGCTCATAAATCTTATCAGCAGTCAATTAAATTGAAAAAAGTAATTAAAATCCTTTGAAAAAATCTATAGAATTTCATTAATAATGAGTGCATTAGATTTGCCTACTCAACATCTATAACTCTACATAAACTCGACATTTTTATTTTGTATCATTGAAAAGATTATACACTCAATATTGATCATCAAAAATGATTCAAATAACCTTTTGTCAAATTTGTTCGAGGTTGAATTATGCGATGTTTAGAACTGTTCATTTTGTAACGAAATCATTCGTTGTTATGTAAAAGCAGTGATAATTATATTACATCACCAATCGAGTATTCTAGTTGCAAACGATGATAATACAACATACTTCTATATGTTGAATACCCTTTTAGTATTTTTGATTAGACGTCCGGTTATTTTTTTTTGAATCTATAGTTGGTAATAAATAAATATAAATTTTCTTATAGGCTTATCGCACTTTGGGGTCAGGCAGCTGTTAGGGTCCACATTCAGTCGGGTTCCTTCATCTTGCGGTATCTGCACTCCTTCCGTCTAACATATTGACTAACGATGTAATCAATACGCTAACGAATGAATCATTCGAGATAACTAACCGTTAGTGAGTTGTCTAAGGTCATTCCATGGATGATGATACGGAGGTTTGAACACAATACTTTCTGGATACACGTCGAACAACATAACCACTCAATCATGGCACCGTTAGTTGGTAATATGTAACAACAAAATAGAAGTAGATTTTATTTATCAATCAGTTATTTGTTTGATCTTGAAATCAGTTCCTCATCATCTAATAATTCGTCTCCGAGTTGTTCGATAAAAACATCGGATTTGTTAAAGATTTGTTCAATATTGTATAGATTATTGTGGTAAGTCGTAACTCTATATCCTTTTAAGTCAAACATACATTTTTCTGATAATTATCGAACGTCGCTGAGATGAAAATTGACATTGTTATTTCGTAGATATTGTTTCAACTCTGCCTATGTCAACTTCACTGGATTGAGCAAACAATGTTTGACGGAGAAGCTATAAATACTCGTTCCAAGACTCATCAATAAGACTCTGATAGTTTCAGTTTATAATTTTTAGCCGATGAACAGTTATTCAGAAAGAGAATTGCTGTTAATTCGTCGTAAAAATATTGAATCTACTCGATTTCGATAAATTCTTTTTTGAAAAGAACTGATTAATCAATCGTATATGAATCAGCACGAGTTCAAGATGAACTGGAACTGTTTCAGTTCTAGTCACAGAAAGAATTTTCAATCTCTAATTACTGTGACATGGAAGATAAAAGAAATAAATTCTACTAACTTTATTTCATAAGTTTGTTCGATACTCATGTGAACATTTAATTTTGAAAACAAATGGTAAGATTAGTGACACGTCGAAATGGAAGGATAGAAATTATAAACCTATCAGAACTATTTCCAAATGTTGACATAAATATTCGAACATCTTTATTATGAGAATAAAAAGTATGATGAGATTCGATAATCTTAACTGTTGATTACATTTCGAATGTGCCAGAAATAATATCAGTATAGATAGAATTAGTATATCGCAATTCACTTAAATAGTTCAATATTCTTAAATGTATTTATTGATCTAACAATTTCAAATTCAGACAGATTTCGATTGTTTAATAAAATTTTAACTTACCATGAGTGATCAAACAGCAAAGTCATCGATTCGCAGCCATATGCCAACCATGATAACGAGTTAAACAATATTCAAATGAATTAACGATATCATCCAAATCGACTAGCAATCGACCAGTGTATATTACAGAAATGAAGAAATCAAACTTCCAGAAACAAGTGTGCATATTGTGATAATAACTCTTCCCAAAAGTGACCATCAAACACATTAATAATGTTGTTTAAAACTTTGGTGAATTAAGATAAATGTTATCGTAAACTGAAGCAGACTGAGCATAGAATTAAGAATATCCTCCAAAAAAGAAACATCTTCAACTTCTAGAGTATACAAATCGAAGAATATTAAATGAGTAAATATCGTCATATTAGCAAGATGATTAATTGATGGTGATGGTACATTGAAATAAAATATATAACAACTGATTTATTTCATCAAGAATGATCAACTATAGATAATCTATTATTGATACTAAAAGAAAAGTTTCGATTCTCACCGAACTACACCAACTATCTCTTTGCACTAGAAAAGGATTAAACATTCATCAACACATCAAAAACAAATATATAAAAGATGAATGTTTTAGTTTTTGTCAGATCGTCAACGGTGTCTTTAGACATAGGACCCATCAATTTATCAACTTTATCAGATTTGAATACAACAAAAGCATCCTGTGACGATCTCTACTCGACAAATTGATAGACCATTAGATTTACTGCACGAAACAATTATAGGATTCCACATTGTCTATTGAAGAAAATTCTAAAATTCTGTCAAGAATCGAGAAGTTGAATATTAAACGCATCTGTATTTCTATAAAATGTGATATTAGTTTATCTGGAGAAAAGATTTTCTCATATTGGTGTTAACTCTATCATTTCTATTAATCAATAATTATATTTAATACTCTCTCCAACAGTAGTTACATGAAATTATTGTTATGCTCTACTAATATTCCATTTCTAAGAATGAGACGTAAATATCGCAATATAGGACAGAAACGAAGTATATCGATTAAAGAATAGATTCAACCGTTATCAGATGAAGTATAAAGCATTTATTCGAGATACGTAAGATTTTATGTTATTCTATTCTTGCCATTTACTCACGGAAAAATGTTTTCAATAAAACCGCGAAAGTGAGATTATTTATTCGGTTTTTAGAAACCGGTTAAAACCGCGGTGCAGGAATATCGCAATGAGCACATAGAAAACCACGGTGTGAGCTAATTTTCTCTCAGTTTAACCGCGGTTATGTCCAATCATACCGCGGTATTCCTGCACCGCGATTTTGACCGGTTTCTAAACACCGAATAAATAATCTCACTTTTGCGGTTTATTGACACCGCTGTTCACTGCGGTTTTATTCGAAAATTTTTTTCCGTGGGTCGTAAGAGAAGAACGACTTATCTAAATATTGTTTATTAATCTTTTTTCATAATGTTATTATTCTATTCGCATAATCTTAAAACCTTTTGTTGAATATGAGTCACAAATGATTTGTTTGATGATCTATAGAAGAATTATCATAATGAAATGGAAGTTTGTCAACATAGTCAACAAGTGTTTAAATCTCGTTTGAACTGATATATAATATAAAGAGTTATTTAATTAAATCTATTTATTCTCTTGATCTTTGATAATATATATAAAAATCGACTGATGATAAATTATTAAAAATAGTCAAACTAATTCCAAGTGAATATTAACAATATGTACTTGTGATAACGATTCTCTTTCTATTAAAAATTCTAATCTAGATAGATGCTTGTTCTGACACATTCATCATAGGAGGAATTTTCAATGAAGAAATTTTTGATAAAAAGAGAAAATAAAAAACTGAATTTAAGTATATATATATATATATATAGTTGTTCGATACGATAACATAAAATAATCAATAATAAAGAGCAAGATTGAATAAAAATAGAGAATTTATCAATAGAGTAAATGGTTGGAATGATTTAACTGATTGTTAATATCAGTATAGGAATATTTACTGAAATAGACTCTTTTTTTTAATGAAAAATTTATTGAATTTTTATTAGGTAATTGACTCTCTGACACACCGTTGATTATGTCGAAATATAGAGTCTCTCAGATTTTATGAAAATGTTTAACTGATAGTAGAATTGTTTTGAGGAAAAGCAAAAAAAAATCAATCTGTTGTTTTTTGTTGTTGTTTATTTTCTTTTTCTTTGACTGTACCTAAGAAATGAATGTCAAAGAAAAAGAAGTTCGTTTTATAAAAGAAAAGTATTATTTTGATCGTTATATTTGATATTGACCAATGATTTGTCATAAAATATCTAAATATAATAAAAAGATATTATCAAATGTAAAAGACACACATATAAATAACATTACCTAAAGATAAATATTGACTATTTGCCACTGTTATGCATCATTTCACTCTATATAATGTATTACCCTTTTAGTGTTATTATTGAATTCTATCATTTTACCTTATCATTATATAAATAGACGTAATGACACTTTTCTTTTTAGATTTAACACGAAGAGATATTTAGTCAAGATTTACTTTATCAAACAATTTTTATTTCTATATTCTCCTCGATTTCAACAATATATTTTTATATTAAATTGTATGCTAAATTATTTGCTTGTTTTATCAATATTCAGAAATTTATCTATAAAATTGACGCAATTTGTGTAAAAAAAAAAAGAATTTTTTTTTAATAATATATTTGAATCTATAGAAAATAATATTGTTATTCTATAGATAAATCAAAATAAAAAACATATGGTTAAAACAATGACAAACGAATATGATAGTTTTAAAAATGAAGATTCTTCATCAAAAGTTCCAGAAAAAGGTAAAACGGTAATTATTCAATATGATCCACCAAAAGTTGTTGTTGTACGTCGTTATACAAGAACTGTTATTCATTCTGTTGATCCTGATGAATATAATAAACAATTTGATTCTGTTTTACTTGATACAGAAACATTACTTGAATGGACTCGACGTCTTAATATTCAAGAAAATATGGTTAACACCTTTTTTTATTTTTATATATAGAATTTTCTTTTTTAATATAAATAATATATTTCTAGATTACTCCACCATCATTTAAACAAACAATTCAATAATAATAAAAAACAAAACAAAAAAAGGCATCAATCACAATTGAAGGTTAACATCAACATAGGAATAAATGAATAGAATTAATTTTATTTGAAGCGAAGCTTATTAAATGTATTTATATATATAGAAAGTTTTTTTTTTATTTAAATAATTTATATTCAAGCTCGAGTTTTCTTTTTTAAATAAAAATAATATTTCACCTAATTTAAATCATGTCAATCATTATGCTAAAAACAATTCTTTTTACGAATAAGTTATATTTATTTATTTTATTAAATATTTTTATCAAATTTTCATTGACTTGTCAAATTTATCTTTCTCTACTAATTTAAATAAATAAATAAATAAATACTTATTATCAATTATAAACAATCATTAAAACAAGGGTTATTAATTTAAAAAAAAAACGAAAATAGATCAGTAAATATGAGATTCTTATTTAGTAAAAGCAGTTTTACCATAAATTTATGAAATATGATGATAAAAAATGAAATTATATAATGAATAGAAAAATATATTCTAGAGATAAAATCATTGTTTATGTTATTATTTTTCCTTTTCTATTTTTATATTTATTTTGTTAGTTTAGCTTTTTAATCAATCATATGCAAACTAACAAATCGTTATTAGAATTCATATTATATAGATATTCAATTTAGTTCAAATCAATAAATCGGTTTTTTTTTTCTTTTTTTTTATTCTAAATTTATTTTCATTATATATAATATTGTCAAGAATTTTTTATTTTAATTTATCTATAAATAAATTTTAAAAAATATATTCACAAATAATAAAACTATTCAATGAAAAGAAAAATCTTCTCTATAAAGTAAAATCTATCTTTTAAAAATATAGATTAAGAAGAATTTTAACGAAAAAATCTTTGAGTTAATTAATGATTATTTTGACAAATGGTATTGATCAACGATTTTTCAATAAATCTAATCTTATCATTGGTAAGAAATAAAAAAAGGACTCGTATAAATGTCAATAGATAGTCATTGTCTTCTATAGGTGATCATAATGACTATAAATCATGTTGATAAATATCTTATTAAAATGACTATTTCATCTAATTCTTAAAAATTAACCTTTTTAACTTATTTTAAGTTGATATTATCCTATCATTAATTCTTCGAACTAATTTAAGATAAAATCAAGAAGTTTTCTATGATTTTGATCTCATTCTATTATTATATAAAAGATTTTTCTTAGGATTTTATTTATTTTTAATGAAAATAAATAATTTATTTTATAAAAAATATTCTTATTTATTGAATAGATCTAATATTGATAGAAAAAAAAATCGATATCTATCAATAAAAACAAATATTCTTTACTATTCAATATTATCATTTAAATAAGCCTGAGGGTTTCATTATTATTTATCACTAAATCAACATTTATTTCTTATCATTTTCTATAGTTGAGTTTCATTTTATAACATTTTTTCAATTCGTCCGTCAAATAAAAAATATTTCTATTCAATAATAATCAATAAGAATACATATAAACATTACTATTTATTATAAAATCAATCGAAAACATCAAATAATCAATAGTTGATCAAATAACATTTTTTAGAATTTAGAAAATCTTTACATTTTTTTTTAATCAATAAACAAAAAAGCTAAGTAGATAAAACTAATTCTTTCTTACCTTGATGATCATCTCTTTCTTATTATTGACATATAACATATGGAGAATTGTAGTCAATATATATATAGTAGATTTTATTTAATAATTATTAGTTTTATTTTATATCAATTGAAACAAGTTAAGTTTTTTTTTGTTTTTTTTTTATATAATAATATTTGTTTTTTGTTTTGAATATCACGAAAATCTCATCAATATTGATGTTTTCTTTCCGTTAATACACACAAGAAGAGAAAAAAAAAAGAAAGAAAAGATATGCAAATGATAAATTTGTCTCGTTCTAATCAAGAATAAAATATTTTTATCTTATCTTCTCAACTTCAGAAATTGTAGAATCTATAAAAAAACAAACAAACAAACGAGACCATGCCGATATAAAAGAATATGAAAAACGAAAAAAATCCGAATAAAGAAGACATTAACAGAACAAACATGTAAATCTCTATATGAAGATAAATAAAATAAGAAAACATAATTCAGATTTCAATGGTTAAAGAAAAAAAGAAAAAAAAATGATATATCTATATAAAAAAATACGCAAAACTCCAATAGATGACATTTATTGACAAAAATAAACAAAACAATAATATATACTCAACACATTTATTATAACAAATAAGAATATATCGACAATAATTTCTCCTACAATTATATCAATTCACTTTTATTTATGTATCATCATCAACATCTTCACTAGACCATGGTGGAGGTTCAAATTCTTCAATCATTTGCCATAAAACAGCTGTTTTAAATAAGAAAACAAATATTATATTATATTATATAAAGAATTGATATCTATTCAATACATAATTATGTATTTATAGAGGAATTTTCTTCATTAGATTTTATTTTATCCTCTACTATTCAAATTTAATTTTTATTTTATTTGAAAAATTAATTTTTAAAGAAAATTAGAGGCAAATCAAATAAAATGTTCGAACCGTTAATAACCAATAGAATAGAATTATTCTATCAGAATAAAGTATAGTTCGATTTATATTTATCTATCCTTCATTTGTTGCTCAATTTATTTCATTTATATATCAAATATTGGCCTTTGAGTATGAAGGAAATAACAAAACAAACATTTTTTACTTTTTTTTTATAAAAAAACTTACATTTCCATTTTTGTATTGGATAAGTTGCATCTTGATGTTCATCAACTAATGGTTCTGCTGATGGTTCTTCCATAGGATCATGTAAATGTTCAAAATATGGATCAGCTATTTAATAAAAAATAAATTGAATATTTAGGAAAAAAAAAAAAATTTTTTTAAAACTAATAACCTAATGCTTCTTGTGCTGTTGGACGTGTTCGATGATCAAATGATAAAAGACGATCAATTAATGCAATACCTTGTGGTGATACACCAGATGTTGGTGTACGAGATCCTCCTTCATATCTATAACCAAATAATTTTTTATAATCTTGTTTAGGTCGTGTTGTTAATTTATTAATATAATCTCGAGCATCTTTAATTAAATAAATAAATAAATATATTTACATATTCATTTTCAAATAAATAAATAAATAAATAAATATATATACGAACATGGTTCACAAACTTGATCTAATGTAGCTAAATCTGGTGTACCAACAATATCAAAGATTTTTGTTAATTGATCAATATGATCTGTTCCAGCAAAAAGTGGTTTAAGAATAATTAATTCAGCCATTATACAACCAACTGACCATATATCAACTTTTTCATCATAACGTTCCCAATTTATAAATACTTCTGGTGCACGCCACCATCTTTTCACAAAAACCAAAACAATTATTTTTATTTAAATAAATTTATTATTAACCTTGTTGCTACATAACCTGTTTGAAGACCATTTGTTGCAACACGAGCTAGACCAAAGTCGAGAATCTATTCAAATTATATTTTTTATATTATTATGTCTATTTTATTCCAAACTTAATTTGATTTTAAACTAATCAATCAAATTTTCATTATTATGGAACTCTTCCTAAATTTTCATCCTCTTCTCTCCATCTGATGAAACATGCTTTTTCGAGACCCTGATCACGTCATTTTGGACAGACTCACCCTCCACCCCTACAAAAAAAAACTCCTGCAAAGACAATTATAAGTATCAGGATCATATTTGACCTCAGATGTAAATGTGTGCAAGTTTGTAGAGGAAGACTTCCTCTGTCTAATACCGTATGTACTAACGAGATCTCATGCATACTGCACGGCAACGTTTTTTCTTTAACATACGACCTCAAAACTTTAACCTTTCACTTGGTAACAGATACAAAGACACTCGAGATTATCTATATAGAAGCCGTGCGACATGATATACCTATATTGCCAATACTCCATATACCCTTACGGCCTTACATTTTTTGTAACTCTTCTAATCTTACGGTCTTACATTTCTTCTAGCTCTTCTAGCCTTATGCGCTTATAGCCTAACCTTCTCATAGGATGGCTCTTTTACAACCTTCCCAGATCGGACAAGCATGCTCGTAAACGATCGTATACGGAGAAGTACGACCGAATACATGGTTCAGTATTACGATCTTAAATCTCCGTGCCGTATACGGTCATATCGAGGTCGTATACAAAGTCCATCATCGTCGGCTAGAATATTCAATTAAATATAAAAAAATTTGTTAGTGGAATTTCTAGGAGAATTAACCCTTTAGGGACGGTTGGCCCCCTAAGGGGCCATGGTAATTCTCTAGCATTTCAAAACACACAGATTCCTATATGAGATTAGTTTTCGTGAAAGCATTTATCAGAGAGTTTTTTGGTATAATATGGATTGTAATTTGGTTATTTTATTCAGATATCCAGTAATGGATAATAAGTTCTTTTAGAATATAGAAGTGTTGATTGATTTATGATGAAATATACAGAAAAAAAAACCCGTCCCCAAAGGGTTAAAATGTGAAACCTTGGTAAAGATATAGATCTTGTTTCAATCTATTTATTTTTCGAAACATTTCTTTTAGTTATTCATCCACAATGTTTTATCATATATATATATATATATAAGGAGTTTCACAGTCGGTGGTGAACTTCGACGTATCTGTGAAAATGAGGAGAGAATGTCTAACTTATCTCGATAATATCCTTGAATACTTGTTAACTTAATTCTTGATTAACTATTTGTCAAGTAGTCAATGATCTATATGATAATTATATATAAATAAAATAAAATCTCTATGGTAGTGAGTGTAAATATCTTCTCAATATATTTCAATATTCATTTTAAATTATGTTTGATATTTGAATATAAAAAAATTGTCTATGTTAAAGAGAATAATAGTATATTGATTTTCAATGACATTATATAAATGAGAGATTTTCTTTTTTTTTTCATTGGAATTTTT